AATGCCAAGCTGGCCTATTTATACCCAGATGTCCAGAACGTGGCCACTGGCCAGCTATGCAAATTTGGCTTACCAATTTCATTGGCCTTTTCTCAATGATGTCAGAGGTGTCTGGGCTCCCAAGAGCAACCTCTAGTGTCAACTTCGAAGCAACGTCTCTGTTCCCTCCATCAGAGAACGAGGGTTATCATACGTAACCGAGATGTTTCTACAGCTAACAAACAAGCAAACAATAAATAAATAATCATAAAACATACTATGATAAAATGTTTTTTTTGCATTTGCAAATTTGTTTTTAGCTAATTTTGAATGTCCATCAGAGGAGAGAGTTAGTTACAGCTAGACTTGTGCCGGTATTCGGCAATGCGATATATCACGGTAATTACTATGCACGATATTGTTATCGTGGGCACTTCTAAATACCGTGAATAATTATATATAACAAATTATTCAGAATTTTGAATGCATTTTAAGAATACTTTTCCCATAAACTGGTCAAAATGCACAACGCTGTATGCTGCCTGAAAGACCCGTGCGCACTCTGATGTAAATAAGCGCAGACGAGAAGCACATGGCGGAACATGTGAGAGACGCTCTGGATGAAAGCACACTTTCACTCTCTGACAGCAGATGGCGCTAAACTGCAGAAATAATAATAAACCGTATACCGTGATAAAAGCATTAGCAATTAATCGCAACATGAAAATTTGATACCGGCATATCCCTAGTTACAGCATATGCTAGCAGGAGCTAACAAGATCATCAGCCAAACCCTGGTCCCATAAATGCTGGAAAAGGTAACTTTTTTCTACTTTTGGCTCATGATAAAGTGCAACTTTAATAAATCCTTTACCAATCATCTTCATCCCCCCCTGAGCGTTGTCCCCCCTAAAAATATGATTAAAACCACGCTGTGTATTGTAAATAACAATGTTTTATACCTTAAATAATTGTGTAAGTAGTAAAACAACACTAACGGGGCAAAAAAACGTTTTAAGTTTAGAAACATTTTGAGTCTCCCCCTCCCTTGCCTCACAGTGCTTTGGTCCAAATGCCTGCTTTCCTCTTTTACAGGAAGAGAGAGAGAGAATAAAGTCAATAGTTATGGAACTCCAGTAAGTAAGGCTGTCAAGGCTATTTTATTCACTTAAACATCGGATAACGTGATAATTTTCTCTTTAATACAGATGATGCCAATGTATTTTTCGATGAGTCGCTATGTTAGCAATAATAACGTTGCCTGCTTGACGGAAAGGGTTGCCAGGTTTTCACAACAAAACCCGCCCAATTGCTATTCAAAAGTAGCCCAAAACTAGCCCAAACTAATTTGTGTCTCCTTCAAAAATTGCTCTTGAGAAAATTTGTTTATTGTCCCCCCAACTGTTAGACGAAATTTACGCCCCTGGAAGAGACGCAACAACAGCAATCTACTGGAGACCACAACATCAATAGACGGCAACATTGAAATGCTTGTGTGAGGGGGGTTATGAGATATTCTATATTATGGGATATTAAACTCTAGTTTAAATGAGTATAAAGACAGTGTTATCGGTCATAACTTCTGGCAAGAAATAGCGCAGACACTGAACGAAGGTGATTATCAAATAGAGTATATCTACTTCTGAAAGTCTGCATATTCGGCTGTTTGCATACACCGAGCTGCTTAAAGGTGCACTAAGCAATATTTGAAAAACACTTTTGACCACAGTGTCGGACTGAGTCCCAAAACACACTCGCTGCCAATCAACAGTAAGGGGCGTGTCTAGTAATGATTGGGAGAAGAGAGCGCTCAGTGAGTGCACAGGACGGATATCCGCAGATCGACTACAGATAGCAGATAAAAAAAAAGAGGAAAATTTCAAAGGAACAAAACATTAAAGAGAAGGGTTATGATCAGGCAAGAGGTAGGAAATATTGGAGCAGCTTTCCAGCAGAGAGAACTCAAGGAGCGGGAAGGCCTGGAATCGGATGCCGAAGTTGCTTGGTTTCTTCTTGATAGGTGAGTTACATTGATTTTTACGTTGAATTACCATAGTAACACACATCGCTTTCACTTATTGATGACATCATACCCTCGGCCAGCAGGCATAGCGTGTTCCGCCATCGTCGCTGCCAGGGTTGTGTACATACGTGTGGGGTGATGTCCTGTTGGGGTATGGCCGTGTTTGTTTTGTGCTTTCAAGTATCAACATAGTTTGGCAAAATTCGCTTAGTGCACCTTTAAGTCCGCCAGTAGTGCAATTATTTCAAAATGATTGTTTTTGGTGAGTGAGCTAGTAAACATGATCTTAAATTAGTTATAAAGTCCTAAATGACTGTAAAGAGTTGGGCGAAAATCAGATGTGTCATATCCGCTTCTTGTGCATCAGGTTTTAAAGTGACAGCGCTGCTTTTAAAGTGAAACCTGATGAAATCTGTCATGGATGTAAATCTAAGAACAAAAGAAAAAGAGATCACTCGACTGTTCTAGCCACTGATTAACTTTTGTAGCTTGAATAAAAATGTATCTATATAGTTTATGCATACACAATTTCTAGTTTATGTGAAGATTGTTTAAAGTTTACTCAAATTAAAAGTTGTTATATTTTTCAGAGCATAATAAATGTTAAAAATGGCTTTCGATTATACTGTAGTGTTGAACGTCTATATACAATGGCTGAAATGGGAAAAAAAATGCATTTAATAGAGACATCAGTAGCAGTATTGGTATCAATGATACTGGTCTTCATTAATAATAGGCTTCTTAGTAAAAAGATGCCATTAAACACATATTTAAAATATACCATCTTTGTTGTTTTTACATTAATTTGGAGGTTCAATGTGAAATTATGATGATATATATTAATATGCGATTAATCATGAATAATTACAGAAAAATCTGCAAGAATTTTTTTTTTAACGATTGACAGATATCACTAATGTTAACCTTTTATAGATGTTGGTGTTGGTATTATTAGCTAATTTTACTGCTGAATATGCATTTCAGCTTAATTTCTAATTTTATAGGCTCCCCACCCCCTTGGCCCCCTTCAGATTTTCAATTTGATATGCCGGTCCTCAAATTAAGCTAATTGAATAGCCCTGCCCTACATACATCAGAATCAGTGGATTTGTAGCAGTTTTAGCCAGTGTAAACATGATTTTCGATACGTCATTCTTGGGTGTATCAACAAGGAAACTGCCTGAAATTTTGCCACTATCTTTTAGTTCATGTGATAACCAAGTTATTCTTTAGAGACCTGCTACAACACACTGTGTGGCTGAAGGATCAATCATTAACCGATCATGGCTTGAACATTTTCAGGTTCAGATAGTAGATGCATGCATGTCTTGTAGGTTATATCATGATACCTCTTGTTCAGCAGCCAAATCTCAATGTCTATGAAATCTAACAGGGAAATTGCCCTATTTTCATAGTCTACTACTGTCTTTTAGTCCAGACATTAATTGATATCTTTTAAAGGGGTCATATGATGTTGCTAAAAAGAACTGATTTCTAGTCGTGTCCTCTTTTGAAAGTATTTTCGCTTTTGCAACGAAACACACAGCGTCTTCACAACATGGCGGCGGAGGCGGCAGCAACAATAAAGTTACGCCTTCTTTCTTTGCATGAACATTTGGACGGTGTTATGCAAATCTTTCCACATCGTGACGTAGACATGTGGGGGCGTGTTTAAACGAGGCATTTTAGGAGGGTGTGGACGAGTCTTAACTTTTATAAAGAATATCTCTTTGGGTTTGAGACTTTAGTCTTTGCAACTTTATGGATCTCATCTATTCACAAACAGCTTGTAACACTCCAAAGAGAAAGGAAAACTTGAAATTGGATCATATGACCTCTTTAAAGGTGAACAGATTTAAGATATAAAACAGACCATATGGCACAAGGTCTGGTTGAGAAAGCCGTCTTTGGCTTTATCAACTCCCCAACAATCCCTCTAAAATACCCAAGAGTCATATGTGCTAGTTGTCTTATGTTTTCATGTCTACCTATGATTATGATTACCTGCCAAGGGACTGCGGATGAAAACTAGCCTTCGGCTAAATTCGGTACAATGCATGAAATGGAAACATTTGTTATAATTGTACATGGTCCCTTTTCAAATAAATTTTTTATAATAATAATAATATCTCATCACAGCCGTGAACGTTTATCTTTAAGATGTAAGGTCTTATAGTCATAAACACCTGACCTGGTGAGAGCTGGTAATAGGTTTCTCAGAAATTGATATTATTAATCAGAAGTGACTTTATGTTCTTAATGCACATTCTTGGTCTTATTGTGCACAATTCATCAGTGCGCAATTACCGCAATATTGGGGGGGGGGGGTATCAAATATCATGAATTGTTAATTTATTACTTTTTGAGGAATCACACCACATGACATTTTACATCCTGAACTAACCTTGCAAGGTCCAATTATCCGATGTTTTAAAAGACTTGTTAACCTTGACACACATGAGGGTCTGTTGTGGTCTTCTCTATGACGTAATTTCCTGTTTTTTTTATGCTTGTTGGTTGGCCACATTACAAAAAGTTTTGTTAAAATATAATCTGTTCCAAGAAATATCAATAATAAACAATATGTCAAACTACATAGGGTTTTCTCATCAAGGATTTTTTTTTTTAATATCAGGACAGTTCTACCACCCTGACAGTTTTTAGTTTGACAAAAAAAAAAAAAATATTCAAATTAATTTTAAATCAGTGTCATGTGCCAACTTTCTTACAAAAATGTATTTTATGAAATTCAACTTTCATACTACATAAAAACATACTATTTTTAATAGTATTTAAAAAAAATTAAGCATGAACCTGTAAACTTAAAGCAAAACCCTCAGTGGGGAATGAGCATGAATGATGTACGAAAATGTATGAATGACCACTTTGCCAAAACATAAAATGGTTACCAACTGTCATCCGTGTGTATTGTGAAAGCAGATTCATGTTGACTACAAGCAAAAAAACAACATTATTTATAAGCTGTGTGTGTGTGTAAAATTTAATTTAATAATAAATGTGTGTAACCACAATAAAGTGCCAGAAATAGACTGCATTTTGAGAGTTCCCATGATAAGCAATGTCTTTAATGTAATTCTTACATAACCTTGCATATGTAATCCTACTCAAAAGACTTTTGATCACCGCGTCTCATAACAGAGTGCCGTCCACATTTTGGATGACAACATACTGTTGTGAGATCAGCAGATATAGACAATTCACAGGGCTAGCAAGATGTACAAGGTGAGTCTGGGGGAACGGCAGACAAACACATCTAAGCAGTGACGGAGGTACAGATCAAAGACGAGTGAAGAAGAACAACGTAATAAGGTGTAACATTAGCACTATACTGTGCCACGTACTCAAGATCTCATTCTGTAATAAGTGTTACAGAGTTTCTACGAAGATCGAGTCCTTACAAGTACACACTAAATAAATGTCACATGTCGACCAGCAGGCTTTTAGCAACTTGTTGCGGGAAGAAAGGAGAGATTTGTATACAGAAAAAGAGGTCAAGGACAGGAAAATAAAATTAGTGGATAAATACCCCTTTTTCACCAAAATGGTCTCAGAACTGGCTTGAGAGCTGAACTGATGTAACTTGTTTAACGATTATTTTACGACAAATTTCGAGGATAGTTTCAAAATCATTTGAATCAGTGCCATCAAGACAAATATTTAATGAAAAAATATATTTAATATGTTATGAATGTTGAGAATACATTTAAACATCCAAATGAATTTCAGTTTGTGTCTTTAAATCACAATTAATATATAACTAGCATTCAATTTGTGAGTATATTTTAAAATCATTTCATTTCAAGCACATCACAAGTGATGTATAAGGAATAAAATGACAATATGTATCAACTGAATGCATTATATATTATAATGGAAGGGGCATAGTTTTGTTTCACGTTTTGCATTTGTTTTGAAAACTGACATTATCTAGGTTCGAATCGAACAGGTTTTAGAGGCCAACGCCATTTTTCCATCTCAGAACCGCCTTTTCTGCAGTGGAACGGTTCCAGTTTGGGTAACGGCTTCCTGTTGGTGGAAAAGGGGTAAAAAGAGGTGAGAGATCAATCAAGGGTCTGAAGTGCTGCCCTGCGGAACCAAAAAAAGAGCATTGAGGTGTCACAACGAGACAGGAAAGATGGAATGGAGAAGAAAGAGTGAGAATTAAGGAGCAGACAGAGAGAAATAAGATACAGCTTCAAAGAAGACTGTAGAAGGGACAGACGGGTGCTACTACAGCTAGAAGTGGCTGATCTCAGTTATTGGCGTCTCCTCCTTCGCTGTCCTGCTGGTCGCTGGTCCAAAGGGTGAGGTTGTCCCGCAGGAGCTGCATGATGAGCGTGGAGTCCTTATAGGAGTCCTCGTTCAGATTGTCCAGGTGGCCGATGGCGTCATCAAAGGCTTCCTTGGCAAGCTGGCAGGCCTGCTCGGGCGTGTTTTGGATCTCGTAGTAGAAGACGGAAAAGTTGAGTGCCAGACCGAGGCGGATGGGATGGGTGGCCGGCAATCTCTTGCTAATATCGAAAGCCTCTTTGTAGGCGCCTTCGGACGATTCGACGGCAGAGGCCCTCTTTTCGCCGGTGGCCACCTCAGCCAGGTACCGGTAGTAGTCGCCCTTCATCTTCAGGTAGAAGACCTTGCTCTCCACCTGGGTTTCGTCACAGTTTTTGATGAGGTACTGGTCCAGCAGGGTGAGAACGTCTTGGCACACCGACTCCAGCTCCTTCTCGATGGTCTCTCGGTAGACACGCACCAGTTCCAGCTTCTTCTCGTTGCCATCTGCCGCCGTCTTCTGCTCTATGCTGGATATGACTCGCCAAGATGACCGCCGGGCCCCAACCACGTTCTTGTAGGCCACAGAGAGCAGGTTGCGGTCTTCATTGGACAACGGCTCGTTCAGCTCTGTGACCTGATGGTGCAGAAGGCCAGATGTTGAGTCAATAAATGCTATTAAAACAAGTTAAGTTTGCAACATATATTTGTTTGAAATTAGGGTGTTACGTTTATGTACAAAGATGATATGACCAAAATCTATCTGGACTCTTGGTTAAAGTGTAATGTGCAGTTTCTGTTTTCAAATATTTTAGTAAATATTGCGTAAAAAGTTTAATTTTAGCTCATTTACCTTAATTAAATTGGAATAGCTTTTAAGAACTGTTTTTATCATGGAATAGAAAAAGTTTGTTTGAACTGGAAAAAAATCCCTGATGTTATTTGCAGCCAAAATTGGTAGGTTATACACTAATATGAATATAACCACTGATATATTGCACATTTCTCATGCAATGTCAATGAGAACCCTGAACAGTTATGATTATATCATGTCACATTAACATAATGTCATTTATGATTAGTGGATAAGGACTGTTATAAATAATTGTAAGAGATTTTACTCTCAAACTCTCAATTTTTAGTCAATGAAATATTTTTTTTATGCTCTGACTTCCATTATGTTTTATAACTATATTAATCACCATCACTTTTCCAGCTCTAAAGCCACCATTTTAAAATTCCTTGATATTTCCAGGTTTTCCATGATCATAGGAACGCTTCACTGAAAATGTCAATGTCAAACAGTCAAAGTGGCATAGTAATGACTATCTAATCAAAGCAAATGGGTGATTAGGGTGATGTTGCTTACATTAATTATAAAAGGATAAAAATTCTGTAGAAATCATCTGTGTCCTATTTGACCCACGCTGACAGGCTGACTTGACTTTCATCCTTTGTGCTCGGATGTCAAACCAGACAGCTGATGCTGCACTGCTGGGTCACTTATTGCGCTTTATTTCACATGTTTACAATTAAACATCAGCTGATGAGAAATTTTACATTTAATTTAACTATATAACAGCTTTGATAATTTAAAACGCAGCTCTATTGTTGTTTTTTAATCTTTTTTTTCTTAGAGACACGGATGCACAATGGATGTGGATGAGGGTGTCATAGCGCCGCCCATGTTCATCCACTGTAACGATTGACATGCACAATACCGAACCGAAACCTACAATTTATTAGCCTTATGTCGCGACATCCGTCCCGTTTTTGCCTATTGATTACTTATTATCCTAATTTTTAAATGCATATTTATTGTTTTCCAACGTTTAAAGGAAATACTTATTGAGAATTTCAAATCATTTCATTACTTTCCTAACCCTTATGTCGTTTTACACCCGTATGACTTTTTTTCTTTACAGAAAACAAAACGAAAGGTCGAGCAAACTATTAGTGACTGACAGTAACGTTATCCTTTCACTGCATCTGTTTTCCATACAATGAAAGTTAATGGAGACTGACTGACTGACATTTTTCCTAATATCTCCCGTTGTGTTTCAGGGAAGAAAGTAAGCTATACTGGTTTGTAGCGACATGAAGGTGAATAACTTATAATAGGATTCCCATTTTAGGTGAACTGTCCCTTTAACAGCATATTTTTATATATAACAAAGAGATCCTGCTCGTGACAAAAGCCAGAGCTTCTTCAATTACATAAACTAGAAATGCACCTTTATTTGAGCATTACTTCAAGAATTAATCTAACAGAAAAAAAAACATTAATGCATCTATATTGCAATCGTCTCATTATTCACTAATAGGGCATGAATGCGTGTATATTAATAATAATGACCCACCAGCTTCATCGCGGAGGCCATATCATCGTAGCGCTCCGCCTGCTCCGCCAGACGGGCTCTTTGGATGAGTTGCTCCCTATCAGCCATCCTCTCTGGTCAAAGGCTGTCGGTCCGCGCGGGCTCGGTCGTGTCTCAGCAGAGCACTCTCGGTTGTGAGAGAGCGAGCGCGCTCCGGTCAGCACACAGTGCGCGAGCAGAATCTGGAGCAGCCGCGCACGTGAGGGTGGAACGGCGAGCCAAAGGTTGAAGGTGCAGATTTGTATTTTTCTGTATGTATATATATTTTTCGTAACGCTTTCTTTCTCCTCCCAGCCCTCTATATCCTCCAAGTTTCGCCCGATTCTTTTTCTTTCTTTCTTTTCTTTCGCGCACTCGCTCTATTTCACGATGACGTCATTTTCTAAAAATAGCCGCATGCCCTGCAGCCGCGCACCTGCGCAGTGAGGTTTGCTGCATTGTTCAATAAGTAACTCTTCCGCATTCAAATGAAGCGATGCTTCTGTCTGTCCAAAGACTCGGACTGATGATTAAAGGCTACTGGGATAATGGGATGCATGGACATTCCTCCTTAATAATGATTGTACAGACTAAATGCTTGGACTGGACTCTTTTCAGTGTGAACAAAGGTCAAGTTTTTATTCCTGGCACTGGATGATTTTCCCGCAGTGCTACTGCTGATGAAATGCAGTTACTGCATTATAACAACCTGACCTTGGGGATATTGTAAATATCTAATAGATCTATTATTTTGTTGAAGAATTCAATTTATGTCCCAAACTCCCGATTTGTCTTTGATAACCAAAATGCAAAGGTGCAACGAGTTTAACCGATCTCAACACGTTTGCTATTAATTCTCAGGATATTCAAAACCTTTTATCCAAATCTAAACATTGGGCCAGGCTCATGCAAATGTACATCGATGGGACCAAGAATTAAAAAAAATGTAAGACCTGATATTAAAATAACTTTTGCTGAACTCCGCCACTTTGGTTACTGTTGCTTGCTCAGTTTTACAGAACTAATCAGAATCAATGCAAACTCTGATCAGTCAGCGGACAAGAGAATCTATTGAAAACCCTCTAGAGACACAAGACTTCCATCGACTTGTATTAGAACAGAGAAAAGCTTGTGTGATAATATGGAGGACGGCAACAGTTATAAGGTAATGTTTTTAAAGTGCCCCTATTATGCCATTTTTAAGGTTGCTAATACTGTTTTATGAGTCTCCTAAAACAGGTTTACATGCATGCAAGGTAAAAAAAACACGTTAGTTTTCTCAAAAAAATAGATTTAATTTGACCCAATTTCTAAATGATTCGTAAACGACTCGTGCGAACGCATACAGCGTGTGTCGGAAACGAAACGCCCATTGCCATGACGGAATGACGCGGGCAAGTTGGCGACGTAGAACGTGGGCGGACATTATGCAAATGTGTTACTTTGTGACGTAGAGCTGTAACAGAATAAGATTCGAATTCCTGACGACTCGTTTAGGCGATTACGTGCCGACTCTTTTTTTTTGATAGACAATAACTTTATTTATTGTGCACTGTCGGCTTCACAACTTTGCAGATAGTTTATGTTCACATACAGCTACATGACACACTGCATGAAAGGTAATAATCGAAAAGGCATAATAGGGGCACTTTAAGATGAGGCTTAGCAATAATTAACAAATTGATCCTATGTACAATTTACTGACGACATACCGTTTACTCAAACCCAGTCAAAACTGTGATGGCTTCAGACATGGCAGGTGCATGTGCAGACACTCTGAAAACATATGACTCATTCATTTGAATGTTTGATTATGAGGCTGTTTGCTTTATTTCTCTCTGATTAGATGACAGCAGCAGTACATTAGCTCTTTTTCTCTGACACAGTATCTATTGCCTTTCCTCCACTGTCTTTTCTCAAGGGGCACTTGCGTTCATTTTCTCTACACAACTTTCCCAGTAGGTCACCAGTCGATTATTCTTGTTGGCACAAAAGTCTGTGAAATCTCGCAGCAGGCGGTCAGCCAGTTTCTCATCCCCCAGCACGCCAGTCCTCCAGGCTTTGGTCAGCATGGTGTTGTAGGCCCAATTGTAGCCAACTCGCTCCTCAGAACCAAACAGGTTCTGATTGGCGGAGGTAGCGGAGTTACGGCGCCGCCGCTGTCCACTGGAGTATTTCCTTTTTAAGTAAGGCAGCTGAAGAAAAACTGTACCTGGATAAAGAGATAAACATTTCCAAGTGATAGCGATAGAGCAAGACGAAGAGCTGGACAAAAGTAAAAAAGCAGAGCTAGTATAGTTTATATCATTCATAAAAGCTTGTACCTGTTACATGGATGTATTGAGGTTTGTTCTCGGATGGAAAGTTAAAAGCTGATGCTGAGAACTTGTCTTGAACAAAGCCAAATCTTCAACGAAAAAAAGGAATTTGTTTTAATGAGGAAAAACACAGGACCATTACACCTTGATAAATAGATTCTAGAAGTAAACTAGATGGACTCAAGTGTGTTCAAATCACCAACCCTAAGTTTGAGAAATAAAATATTATATGCTCTCTTTACCTGGACAGTATGGCCTCCTGAAACAACTGCATTCTGTCCCAGTATGTCTCTGGTTCAAACCCTAAACAAGTAAAGCAGTGCGATAATGGAGGATATCATACTTTTACTTAACATAAAAAGACAAAGGCAGTTCCACAAGATATTGTGACACATTTTGTGAAAGAATCCATCCAAGATGGTGGATGGAGAAAAATGTTGATCATAAATATATTCAAAGGTCATTAGATACCAAAACAGACTATTTACCTAATATTTGCGCTCTGAGTATGTAGGATATTAGTGTTAGCTTAGCAATGTGCAAACACCAAACAGAGCCAATGTATTCACTAAATTTGTGGATTTTCAGATTTCTACAACCGTTACACCGTTCAATCTGTTACTTTGTCCTCACCCTCAAACAGGTTATCACAGCCCTCCTTTAGCAGGCACTGGATATTTAGGGGGATAAACAATTGAGCACGGAGAGGGTCACCATACAGGTACGATGACAAAGCAAAGGGCACCTCCAACACAGGTACAAGCAGGAATCCACAAGATGCCGCCTTTCTGTGCCAGCCTTGCACCTGAAAAAGAAGAGTCCAGTGCTACAGGACTATGTCTCAACCTTAGATGTTATGTTTGCACCCTTAGTTCATAGAAGTTAACTACATGTATCTGGCTGACTATGCTTGATAGTCCTCGATAGTATTAAAAATGTCATCCAGCACCTCGTCACTTCATTCAGGATTTTTGAAACTATGCTCATCCTATGCTTACCATTTCAAAGAGTACGGCTGAGGTAACAGCCATCCAGTGCACCTTGATTTCAAAGGCAGCGTTGAGGGAGAAGTTGCCATGGTAATAGCAACTGCACCATTCAGTTCGATCACTGCGATTGTTCACATCAACGTCCAAGGTGACTGTTTTCTGCTCTGGAACCGTGGCAGCTGAGAGAGGAGGGGCAAAAACAGAGCGAGAAAGACAGAGAGAGAAGAAATTGCCAAAAGGATGAAATGAAAAAGAGGTCAGGCATAGCGTTATTAAGACCTTTAATGGGTCAATGGAGAGTAATTGCGATAAAAGAGTTTATGGCAGTTAGTGTTCATGACATCTGAAACAAAAATTGAGATGAATTGAACTAATCTAAGATCTGGGGCGATTTTCATGCAGTGTATTAAGGGCAAGTAAGATGTATGAAGCTTCTATGGCAGGAATAACAGAAACACTGAAAGCTGAGTGTACTGGTGCAATAAGCAAAGTCAGAAAGGCAATGGGTTGGCAGAAAAGCTTTGCTCAGGTTTGGGAACAATGCAGGAATATCATTCATCCGGAACAGGACAGATGGAGGAGAGCAGGAAGAACCCATACCATAGCACTACTGGACCACAGCCAATACTTCACCACAGCATGCACTACTGGTGTACAAGACATCATTATAGCCCACCCAACACAGCGCTTTGATTGGTGTATTGGGGCATCAGTCCATGCTCTGATTGGAACAGCTTGCAAAGCAATTTGTGCCCTGACTGGGAAGAATACATGTAACCATGCCATTTGGAGAGTGTATGTACTGTCATAGGTCACACCAATTGATGGCTAATGGCAGAATTGCAAACAGTCTAGATCAGTTAGAAAGAGAATCTTGATGTCATCAACATGATTTGGGCATTGTGAGAATGAACACGATGAACTAAAGGTGGACTACTTTTCTACAACAGCAAGCAATCCCGAAATGGAGAAGAGTCACACAAAGTCAGATGATTAGACTTGCATCAGTAAAATTTCTTGATGAAAGTGGTTGGATCAAAAGCTTAGCTTTCTGAGAAGAATTTAGTGTGGCATACAGTCATTCAGTGATGTTGTTGATCTTTATATGTTAGTTGAGTTGTGGAAGTTTCCAAGTGCACATTGATGTAGGGTTGACTAGTAGATGGCATAGATGGTATCTGAATGCTTTAGTAATATGCAAAGAAATGATTTGACTTTGTGTGACTCATTCACTCAACTAGTCTTCCAGAACTTTCGGGGGAGGGAGTGTGGCGCACTGCCTTAAGGTGCGGAGCATGGCTGCTCTGGGGTCAGAGCTGGCTGTGTGTACCTAGCAGTGCAGCAGCTTGGCTGCGTCCTCCGAAGCTGCGGCTGAAGGAGCTATGCCTACTTGCATACGAGGCTGGCCGGCTGGGCAACCAGGGCAGCAGGAAGGCAGGTAAGTCACAAGGCCGACGTTCCTCCATAACAAAGGCCACCTCAAACCACTTCCTCTGAAACAGGGCGAAGTCCTCCATAGCTGTTGCAGACCATACATTGGCTCCCGCTGGGGGCAGCTGAGTCGTAGGAGCTGCAGGGAATAGAGCTCTGTTTTCATGAAGGGTAGAAGCACCAAGACACAGTCGTGACAACAATGGGATTGCGGACAGTGATGCTCACAGGATCTGCAACCTGAACACTGATATCAATTAAAATCACTGGAGGTTGTAGTATCGCTGTGCTCTTGGTTTCTAGTAGGCGATCCTTCTCTGCTGCAGTATCCAACTGTATGAGGTGGCAGGTCACTACGGATCACTGTGGATCACTGTCTTGTGTACACCGGATATTGCAACTTCTCATTGAAAATGAATGAAGTCCAGTTGCTTTGCAAATCACTGTGAGTGTGAATCTCCCTTGATACAGTTGGATACAGTGGAAACGGCTAGCAGCAACCTACTCTGCAGAAACTTCGCAACCCCTAGCCAAGTAATCTTGACAGTCAAGTCAAGTCAATTCTTACCCTTTTCGTTGTCCTTGTCAACAATCCGGTAGAGGTAGAACCCATAAACAAACGTCCGCATGGCATCACCGGAGGCATGCATAATT